TTCTTCTGTGTCTTCTATTCTGTGAGAGTAAAGATTCTCAAAGTAGCTATTGATAATCTTCTGAATTTCCACTGAGTCTGTGGTAATTACACCCTTTTTATTCCTTATTGCTTGTATTTGAATTTTTTCTTTCCTCTGTTCGATGAGGTTAGCTAGGGGCTTATCAATTTTATTTAATCTTTCAAAGAACCAGCTTTTTGTTTCTTTAATTCTTTGAATTGTTTTCTTTGTCTCAATTGAATTAATATCTGCTCTAATCTTTATGATTTCCTCCCGTCTTTGCGTTATAGGTTTGCTTTGCTCTTCCTTTTCTAGCTTTTGAAGATGCAGCATTAGGGTGTTTATTTGTTCCCGTTCTGTTTTCCTAATGTGTGAGTTCACAGCTATGAATTTCCCTCCGAGAACTGCTGTCATCGTATCCCATAAATTCCGATAAGTTGTGCTTGAATTTTCATTGAATTGTAGATATTGTTGAATTTCTTTTTTAATTTTATCTGTGACCCATTGTTGCTGAGTAGGGTGTCATTTAATTTCTTGTATTTAAGGTTTTTTTCTGGTTTGTTTTGTCATTTATTTCCAGTTTCATTGCACTGTGGTCAGATAATGTTCATGGGATAATTTCTGTTTTCTTGCATATACTTAAGCATGACCTATGGAACAGTATGTGGTCTATTTTAGAGAATGACCCATGTGCAGTTGAGAAAAATGTGTATTCAGCTGTGTTTGGGTGGACCACTCTGTGTATGTCCACCAAGTCCATTTATTTCAAGCTCTGGTTCAGTTCTGTTATTTCTTTGCTAAGTTTTTGTCTGGTTGACCTATCTTTTGGAGATAAGGGGGTGTTAAGTTCTCCGGTTAAAATTGAGGTATTGGCTTTTAGATTTTTCATGTCCATTAAGATTTGCTTTATATAGTTGGGTGCTCCCCTGTTTTGTGCATACATATTTATGTGTGTTACCTCTTCCTCTTGAAGTTTTCCCCTAACCAGTATACAGTGGCCTTCTTTATTTCACTTGATCATTGTTGGTTTGAAGTTGAAACTATCTGAGAATAGGATTTCTGCCCCTGCATTTTTTCTGAGGTGCTGGTGCATGTAGTATTTTGTTGCATTGTTTGACTTTCAGTCTATGAATGTCTTTATGAGGTAAATGTGTTTCTTGTATACAGCATGTTGTTGGATTTTGTTTCCTAATCCTCTGTACCATTCTATTTCTCTTAATTGGTCAATTGAGTCCTTTTACATTGATTATGAGAATTGAAATGTGTTGACTTATGGTTAACATGTTATTTACCTGTTGTCATTTACTCCTTTTTCTCCTGTGTTTAATTGCTTACCCTGTTTAGTTGGTTGCTTCTGATCTCATTCGTGGAGTTTTGATCGTTTTTGTCCCTCTCTAGAACATCTTTCATTAGCCTGTGTGGGGTTGGCTGTGACATCATGAAGTTCTTTAGCTGTTATTTGTCATGAAAGTATTTCACTTTTCCATCAAACTTGAAAGAGAGTTTTGCAGTGTATAGTAGTCTGGGCTGGAATTTGTTTTCATAGAGGATCTGAAGTACTCTGCTCCATGCTCTTCTTGCCTTCATGGTTTGTGAATAGAAGTCGGCCATAATTCTGATGGATTTTCCTTTGAATGTGATCTGCTTTTTTTCTCTATTGGCTTTCCGTATATTATTCTTGTGCTGAATTTCTGGGATCTTGACTATTCTATGTCTCGGTTTGTTTTTCATTGGATTGAGGTTACTTCCCGTTCTGTACGCTTTGGTTGCCTGAATGTCAGATTGCTTTCTCACGTTTGGGAAATTTTCTGCTATTATTTCTGCCCATAATTTTTAATGTCATTTGTATTGTCTCCTTCTTTCTCATTGATACCTATTAGTCTCACATTGTTCATCGTCTTGCAGGTGATGAATTATTCTTTCCTGCATCCTCGTTGTTTTTAAGAGATCCTTTCTTACCTTTTCACTAGCTGCACCAACATCTTTAAGATCTGAAACTCTGTCTTCACTTTCACTTAAACGGTTTTGCAAACTTGTGACTGGGATTTTAATTTCCTCTCAATCTCTTTGACTCTTCTTCATGTAAACTATTTCTTTCCTGTGTTGCTCATTCAAGGAATCTGTCATTTTTCTAATCTCTTTTTTTTATCAATGTGTTCTTTACAAGCAGTTATAAATTCTTTTACTGCAGTGATTTTTTCAGATTGGGTTTCCTCCCTATGTTTCTGTAGTTGATTCTTTACTTCAGATCCTATGAGTTCTGAGAATTCTTTTTTTATTTCAGAAAAGAATTCTGCTCTCAGTTCCTCTATAACTTTCTGCTGTTGCTTATTTACTATTGACGCTATTAATTCATACATTTGAGGTGAGTTAGTAGAAAAGCATTCCACTCTGAGTTCTTCTATGGCTTTTTGCTCTTGCTTATTTACTATCGACTGTATTAATTCATACATTTGAGCTGAGCTAGTGTTCTCTGCACTTGTTCTGGGTGGGCACTGGGTTTTTTCCTTATGTTTCTGCATTTGATTCTTTACTGCAGATGTGATTAATTTGGGGATTTCTTTTTTTATTTCCAATCTGAGTTCCTCTCTATCTTTCTGCAGCTGTTTCTTTATTTTAGAAGCCGTTGATTCTTTGCTTTTTAGCTGTTTGATTCCCAATTTTTTCTGTGTTAGTGTCCTCTGCACTTGTTGCAGGTGGGCTTAGGTTTTGAGATTGCATTTTCTTCCTTCTCGTCATTTTGTGTAGCACTTTCTTCTGACCTTTGTTGTAGATCTTTGTTGTAGTTATAACCTTAGCACCTACTGAAGTTCAGGTGCAGATCTACAAAGTTTGGATTTATCCAGCTGTGCCTTGCTTGGTTCTGGGTGCTGTGCTCAGCTCATTCCTGCTGCTGTTGTTGAAGGTGACCCTGTTGTGTCCCTCTGGCAAAATGTTCTGTTACTGAACTAGCTGGTTGGTTCTGTCCCCTACACTCTCTGCAGGGTTTGCAGCTGCAGTGTTTGACCCCAGGCCTGTATGTCAGGCCTGAGCTGAGTCTGGAGGGTAATTCTTTTACACTGCAGTAAAAGAATTTATGACTACTTGTAAAGAAGACATTGATTAAAAAAAAAGAGATTAGAAAAATGACAGATTCCTTGAATGAGCAACACATGAAAGAAATAGTGTGCATGAGTAGAGGGGAGAGGCAGTTCTCCCACACACTCACCGGTCCTGGGCTAGGACTCAGTCTGGGTGTTCCCAGAATGCAGCAGATATTCCTACTCCTGGTCAGGGTGTGGGAAGTGCTGCAGTCGTGAGGGGCATCCTAAGGGAGTGGAAGAGGGTCTCACCCATGCTGCGCCTGGGCCGGGACCACTAGCTCTGCCTACGCAGGGTAGCTGGAAGCTCTCCCACACACTCACTGGGCCTGGGCTAGGACTGGGTCTGGGGGTTCCCGGAACGTGACACAAATTCCTACTCCGTGGGCAGGGTAACGACTTGGTAAGACTCTTGGTAAGACTCACACTGGCCTTGGACTCCCCCAGTGACACATTGTGATACTCAACAAATAGCACTATGTTTAGTAATATGAACACAGAAAAAACGTGTGTTTGTAAAATTTTACTTCCTGCAATATCAAGGGACCACAGACGACATAGTAAAATCTCCGTAAATGTGTTGTCTTACAAGGTGTGGGCTCATATGTTCAATCAGTCTTCATGGATAAAGTCACAATAGTGGGGAGATGCCCTTCCACTTTATCCCTGTCCAAAGCTGGAAGTGTGATGTCGGTTGAGACATATCAGACCCTTATCCCAGGCATGTTGAAAACACCCGTTTTTCATTAGAGTAATGTGACGGTGTCATGTTACGTCCCATCCATGCTTTGTCTTCCTGTGAGTGATCCAGTACAGTGTTCAGCTGCTCCAGCACTCCTCAGCCTCACTGCGTAACTGGCTGTGCTGAAGAGAAGCCACACGGGGAGCACCCTCAGGCTGTTACCATCCTGAGGGCAGACATCACGGTCTCTCTGGTAAGAAGAAGGGGAAGCACTTTTAAACAATTTATGTAAATGGTGGCAAGTTCTCCTTTAGTGCATTGCATTTTTATTTTTATTGTGAATGATTTATGAGAACCTTCTCTGCGCGAATTGATGGGATAACCTTTATGAGAAGTGTTAATGTGTCCAGTTGTTTCTATGTCTCTTTAAACTTTAGGCTGCTTGAGTTTCAAACAGAAAGAAATATATTATCATGATGTACTATCTTATATACTGATCACTGAAATTTACTCTATTGTTTGAGGGGTGACTTTGGATTTAACCCAGCATTTATTTCTGTTCCAAGCCTCTCTTGAATTATTTTCCCACAGCGTCTGGCTGCAGTGCCCAGGATGGGCTCGAGCTTTGGACCCTCCTGCCTCAACCACCCTGGCAGGTGGGATGACAACTAAAGGTCTCCATGTCTGACTGCAGGGCTATTTTTAGAGACTCAAATCCAGATTTATGAGAGAGTTCTGTGGGCGACTTTTCTATTGTGTAGTTTCTTTGATGAGTTTTGGTATGATAATTTTCCTGGTCTGATGAATATGTTGTGCTGTCTTTTCTCTTCATCTATTTGCATAAATTGTCTGTAGAAATTTGTGATTTGATGTATTTCCTGCATATGAAAAAATTACTGACAAAGATTATTGAACCAGAGTTTGCAAGAGGAAGTGTTTTCATTAGAGAGCTAATGTTCCCATCACATATGAGATTATCCACATTTTCTATTTATCTTTATCATTATCAGTTGTTATGTCTGTAAAGCCCATTTGGGGTCTGTCCAGATGTCTGCTTTATCTAATGTTGAAATGCAAATCTACACTATTTAAGGACTCATTATAGCTAATATTATTTTTTTCTTCTACCATATTTAAGGTTATTTCATATATTTTTCTAAATATTTGATAAGATATTTGAGTTCAATGATTTTTACACAGTGTTGTCCACTATGTTCATTCATGATTCTTAATTATCTCATTTCCTGTCTGTGCTGTGTCATGCTGTCATTAATACTATAATTCATTTCTCACATCCTCTTCCATGATTCCTTTTCTCATTCTCTCAGTGATTGAAAAATCTCTGACTTTATTCCCGACACACAAAGGTATGAGCTTTCTCTGACTGCAGATTCAGGTGCATCTCAGAAAGTCCAAGAATCCCTGGAGTCTCTGTTAGGTATCCCTGGCTGAAGTGTCACTTACTATTCTTTGAGACATCTTCTGGGCAAGTGGATGCCAAGGTAGCATACACACTGGGCTCCACTAGGAGGGCCCTGTCCTTGAAGGAAAGAGGTGCAGCTGGTCCCTGTCTGAGCGTCCTGCTGCAGAGTTGGACATAAGTCACATCCTGGTCACCCTTTTGTGCAGCAGCCTGTAGGGGAGAGAGGAAGCCCATGCTTGGCACCACAACCATCTGTGGCCCCAGGGAGTGCAAGACATACCTGAGCATCCATCAGCTTGTCCTCCCCTGCCTGTCCATCCTTGCTGTTCAGGAGCTAGCCCAGTAAGGCCACAGGAGGGGAGGCCTCTGTCTTCCTGGCTGCTGAGTGCTTCAACTGGGCATACATTACACCCTGGGGGTCCTCATCAGGTGGAGGGAGGCAGAGACAGACATAGGGTCTCCTTGATTCCATGCCCATCTCCCCAGGCAGTTTCCCATATGGTGGCAAGAGGTATCCTTTAGAAATTAAACTAGACTTTGTCCTTCTGTTATTCATGGACCTTGAGAGGTTTCATAAGGCCTCAGATGGTCTGGATAGTTTCTTCCTGCAGTGTTGCCCCATCCTGACACCTGGACTCTGCAACCCTGGCTGCAGTCACATGGCCCACCTCCCTGAAGGAGCCTATCCCTGTCTCAAGTCCTTTGTACTGCCTTGTGCATTGCATGCAATGCTGGTGCATTAGAGGTCTGAGTAGCACTCTCCATTCAGTCTTCTGCTCAGTTTTCCCCTTTCCAGAAGGTTCTTCCCTGTGATTCTCACTAGCCCTCCTACCCCTCTACCCTTCCTCTGCTGCATTTTCTTTCTCAGCTCTTTGCTCTCCTGATACCAGGCTCCCACCTTGAGGTGGCTCAGGGTGGGAGGGGCTGGGTTTCTCACTGTACCTCTAGGCCCCATGGAGCCATATTAGTGTGGATTCCTTCTCATACATGCTGCATGAATGAGTGAGGGGACCTTGGGACATGGAGTGGCTCCTTCACTCAGGGTTCTTATGAAACAGGGACAGGAAAAAGCCAAGCCAGACAGAAACTGAAGGCCAGAAAGGGGTCAGAGAGAGACCATGAGGTCACTGGAAACCAGAAGAGGGTGAGTTCACAGAAGGTAGAGGTCTGGGCTTCCAGGAGGGAGGGCTCAGCTGTGAGGTCCCTGAGAGCTGAGTGCTATAGGACAGAGCAGCATCCCTGGGCTGAATTGGGAGATAGCAAGACTGTCCATTAGATACAACAGGGTCTCACCTGAGTGTCCAGCTCCACCCTGTCCTCAGCCTCTGTGTTCTTCATGGTGACATCTGCAAGGACAGAAGAGGATCAACTACTGGTCAAGGTCCTGTGGTCTCTCAGGCCCCCAGATAATGCCATGTCAAGCTGGGGACAAAGATCCAGACAGTTGTGTGATGTTTCCAGTCCTAGTGTTGTGGTTCAGTCTGACTCATCCCTGAGGCCCAGCCTCCACCTGCCCCTGTGCTATTGAGACCTCTGGGAACCACCCAACAGAGGACCTAAGAGCACACTGGAATCTCCTGCAGGATGGGCCTTGTGTTCTGCCCTGGATTCTCCACCCTGGGCTCTGCACAGAAGACTCTATACAGACTCATCCCCTTAAAGAGGTTTCCCTGTGGACCTAGGCACTCACCACTTTCTGTGACCCAGGTCCCACCCTCCCTGCTCACCTCTCTTCCTGATTCTTCCTTGATGCCAGTATAGAAAGAAGAGAAGGAGGAGCAGCAGTAGCAGGGAAGAGGATATGGACACCCAAGTCACAACCTTATTGTTCCATTGCAGTCCTGGCATGCTACCTTGAAGAGAAAAATGCCACTTCCCTGAGTACATGTGTGCCCAGTGCACGTGGTGTCTTCATATCCCCAATTCATGCTCTCCCAGTGCAAAATGTGGGATTGCCAGCACTCATGCAGGTTACTGAGGAGAAAGCAGACAGGCAGAGCTGGGAGCTGCCAGCCCAGGAAAACAACAGGAAGGTGAGATGGGGATGGACTGGGGGATCTGGGGCTTTGGTCCTGCTCTTTACAAAAGAGCTGAGCCTCTTGATCTGGAGGGAAGGAACCTGGACACCCTGCCCTGGCCTTGCACTCTCCTGTGCACATAACCAACTACACTGCACAGTGGGACAAGACCCTGAAGTATGATGCTCCAAAGGTTTTCCTTGGAGGCTGCCTCTCGAGGGCTCACAGCAAGGTCAGTACAAAAGGAACTTGAAGGTTGGGGTCAGGCCTCTCCTTTACACCTGGAGACACTGAGACCCACCCAGGAGGAGCTTCACTGAGTGGGCATGTCCAGAGGATGCCGCACCGGCCCCACAGCTCAGCCTTTGCCCCAGCCCCTCACAGCAGCAGCACCATCACTTACCATCCCGGGTTCCAGATTCTGGCAGGAGCAGGTGATCTTCAGGGCCTCCTAGGCAGGGTGAGGAGGTGAGGAGCTGGGCTCCACACTCTCCACTTCAAATGCTGTTCCTCCCCAGGTTAGACCAATATCTCTCTCAACTCTCATCCCACCCTATGCAGCCCGAATTCTGAACACGTGGGATCCAGGTTCCTTTCCCCTTCTCTGTCCATGGACACAAGCAGAGCCTGGACCGCAAGCAGGAGTGGAATAGGCTGAGCGTGTCTAGGCATCCTGGACACAGGAGACTGGGACAGAGTTGGGGAACCTCCTGTGGTGCATCTGGGTACTGAGGATGGGGAAGGGGTCACCCTGGGGATGAGGACCTGAGGGAGTTCAGGGTAGGGATGGCCAAGGCTGTACTCTGCCCTCTAGCATATCTGTGCTGAGGCTTCTGTTCACAGGGCACATCCTCGACAGGACGGATCTTTGAGGACCACAGGCCTTGTAAGAGTCCACCTCCACCTGGTTCTCCCAGAGCCATGCATATCCACCCAGCGCAGGGCTTCCTAGAGAAAGATGGGAGGGGCCCTGGGCTCAGCCATGCTAGGATCATAGGCATCGCACCTGAGACTGTGAGCTCCAGGGGCTCGCTGGGCTGTGACAGCAGGTATGGAGAGGAGTTCCAGGAGCCATAGCACCTGTAGGTCCCTGTGAGGGCTGAGCTCGCAGCCCCCATGGAGAATACTGCCTGGGACCACTGAGCTTGGGACTCTGATCTCAGACGCAGGGGGGGATCAGCTGCTCCCTCCTTAGACAGAAGGAAAGTGTCCATCGGGCTCTGTGACCGACACAGCAGGGTCACATCCTCTCCTGAGGACACCATGTGACTTGGCTCTGCATAGAGGTAAGGTGTGGCAGGGAGCTGACCTGGAGAGAGGGAGGATAATCAGGGGCAGCCCTAATGTGCGGTGAGCTGAGACCTCAGCAGGGCTGTCTCAGAACCATCCGGCTCTGCATTATTCTGATTCTGTCCCTCCATCTTCCCCTGGCTCTCTGTCTCTCTGCCTGCCTGACATCCCACCCTCACACTGGCCATCATCTGCTGGGCTCCCCCAGAGGGGACTGCATAAATTCTGGGTCCCAGACTGAGCCCTGGGCTCCCCACCTGGGATCAGGATATCCACGGGGTCACTGGAAGCAGACCACTCTGAGGAGAGGCTGTGTCCACCGTAGCATCTGTAGCGGCCCCTGCATGAGTGGCTCCCAGGGCCCAGGGTGAAGTTGGCCTGTGAGAGCCCAGCCTGGAGCTGCAGGGCAGGGCACTGGGGGAGATCACCTGCCCCCTCCTTGGACAGAACGAATCTCTCATAGTGAAGGTCGGAGCGACACTGGAGGGTCAGGTTGTGTCCGGGGGCCAGGACATGGCCCTGCTGTGTCAACAAGGTGGGCTTTCTGGACAGCCCTGCAGGGAGGAAGAGCCAGGCTAAGAGGCGGTTGCCTGCCATGCCCCTGCTCTCCTGTGCTTCAGGGTGGGTCTCCCTGACAACCACAATGAGGTCTCTAGGTCTCTGGCTGTCCTTACCGACCACCTCCTGGGGATCCTCTATAGTTGGGTCCCGTCAGTTATTTAGGATTTCCAGCATGACGGGGTCAAATAAAGGACTCCTCACCTGAGAAGAGAAGCTCCAGGGCATCACTTGGCTCTGACCACACTTGGGGGTTTTGCCTGTAACAGCCGTAGCACCTAAATGTCCACTTGTGCATGGGGGTCACAGGGCCCACACTGAGAAAGGCTTGGAAGCTGTCACTGGTGCTTTGCTGTGATTTCAGTGTCCAGGAGAGCTTGTTTCCTCCTTCCTGAGTCAGAATGAAGCTGTCAAATCCTAGATCTGACCCACACTGGAGGGTGACATTCCCTCCTGAGGTCACCACAGGGCTGGGCAGGGCTGAGAGACTGGGTTTGAGGTAGAGTCCTAGGAGAAAAGGAGGCAGTGTGAGTCACAGCTCCCACACTGTTCCCAGGGCTGGACTGCGAGAGGGCCAACCCTGAGAGCAGACACCTGCCTGAAGACAGAGCCTGTAACTGGAAAACATAGTCTCTCACCTGTCACAACCAGCTCCAGGGGCTCACTGTGCTCTGACCAGCCAGCAGGGCTGCTATAGTAACAGTGATACCGACCTGCATCATCCTCTGTCATGGATGGGATGGAGAAGTTGGCCTTGTTCCCGGGCTCAGGAGAGGCCCATGTGGCTGAGAGGGCTGGGCTGCCCTCTCTGTACAGATGGAACTCCTGGGCCTCCAGAGTCCCCTCACACCACAGGGTCACAGGACTCCTCCATGGAATCACAGAGTCTGGCAGAGCCTGGAGCTTGGGTTTTGGGGTGGTCCCTGCAGGAAGCAGGTGAACAGGGTTGGTGTGTCCTGACTGTGCTCTGTGAGTCCTGCATGGAGCTGAAATTAAGGCTGACCTGGGAGGAGCAGAAGACCCCCGAGGAGCTGCCTGCAGACACAGCTCCCTCTGGACGCTCTCACTTGTACTTTCCCATCCCACCCTGTTCCCATGTCTCTGGCTGCACTGTCCCCCACAAGGTCAACGTGTTCAGTATCCTTTAGCCCCTCACCCATCTCACCACCAGGCCCTGCCAAAGTGTCTTATTCAGGTCCTCAGTCAGGAAAGAAAATAGCTGGGGCTTGCTCACCTGAAAGCAAGAGCTGCAGGGGCTCACTGGGCTCCGACCACAGCTGGGGTGCGCTCCAGTAGTAGCCATAGCACCGGAACGTCCACGTCTCTCTTGGGTTCACAGGGCCCAAGGGGAAGAGGGCCTGGAAACGCCCTTTGGGGTCTTCCTGGGATTTCAACGGCCAGCATTGCTTGTCTCCTCCTTCCTTTGTCAGAATGAATCTGTCAAATCTGAGCTCTGACCTACACTGGAGGGTGACATTCTTTCCTGAGGTTACTACAGTCTTGGGCAGGGTGGAGAGGATGGGTTTGCTGTAGACTCCTAGGAGAGAAGGGCACAGCATGTGAAAGGGACTCATGCCTCCCACGCTGTCCTCAGGACTGGTCTGTGAGAGGAGAACACCCCTGAAAGTAGAGCCTTTCCTCAGGGCAGAGCCTGGGTCTGTGATCCCTTGTGTCCTCTCACCTGTCACCACCAGCTCCAGGGGATCACTGCGTACTGACCAGCCAGCAGGGGTTCGGCAGTAACAGTGATGTTTCCCTGCATGCTGCTCTGTCACGGATGGGATGGAGAACATGGCCATGTCCCTGAGTTCCAGTGATGTTCGTCTTTCCCAGGGCACTTGGCTTCCCTCTTTATACAGACCATATTCCAGGGCACCCAGCATCCCTTTACACCAGAGGGTCACAGGTGCCCCCCATTGCACCACAGATCCTGGTTCAGCCCAGATCCTCAGGTTTTGGGTGGTCCCTGCAAGGAAATCCCACGTGGGTCCCAGGAACTTCCTCCTTACTCAGATTCCAGCTCTCAACCTCAGGAGCCTCCAGGACTCCCAGCACCAGCCGCACCTGCTGCGCTCCACCCCCACTGCCCAGGGATGAGAGGGACCACACCAGTGGGGAACACACTCACCTCCACGCACGGTGGTCCTGGGGCTCAGACTCAGCCCTGGAAGAGAGTTCTCCGTGAGGGCCTTGCCCTGGAGCCTTGTTAGGTCCTCTGCTGCCCGGAGCCTCCCGAGTCTCTGGTCCTTGGAGGGCCAGCACCTGCCTAGGGCTCATGCTAGGGGTTCCTACCCATGCTCAGTTCTCACCAATGCACAGCAGGGCCCTGAGTGCGGCGGTCATGTGTCCACTGCCCCTTCTGCATAGATGATACCACATTGCCGGCCACACAGTTTTACAGCTGGGGATTGCCTTCTGCCCTTCATGGGGTGGTCACACTAGGAGCCCCACAGGAAGCGGAACTGACATGCGCAGTCACCGGGCTGCTTCATCCCAGGGCTGAACCTGGCTGGGCTCCAGGCTGATGTGG